TTGGGCGCCGCTTCCCCCCCCCCGGGCCAGCCGCTAACCGCTCCCTCCCTTGCAGCAAAGCTCCACGCGGCAAAAAATGGCCAAGATGTCGGTCGGGGTCCGAGTGCGTCGCCCCGGCGGAGGTAAGTGCGAGGCCCGCGACGAGCGAAGCCGTTGGGGACGGCGCCGGGATGATGTTCCTGAGCACAGCCGCGCTTTATTTTTTTGTTTTTTGGGTTTTTTTTCCAGAGGAGATGGTGGTGAGCTCCGCGGATCTGGTGCCGGGCGATTGCATCAGCCTCCCCGCGGACGGGATGCTGGTCCCTTGCGACGCCGCGCTGCTGACGGGCGAGTGCATGGTCAACGAGAGCATGCTGACGGGTGAGAGTCCCAGGAGCCGGCGGGATGCACGACGATGCCCCGGCTTTCGCTGCGGACTTTAGCGGGGTGGCGGGGGGGAAAGGACGAGCGTGGTATCTCGGTGACCCCTTCCCACCCAGGCTGGTTGGACCCTGACCCCCCCCCAGGGTGATAAACCTCCCTCCGTGACGTTCCTCGCCCGCAGGGGAGAGCGTGCCGGTGATGAAAACGCCTCTCCCGGCCGGAGGGCAGGCAGCCGGCACCGTCTATTCGCCCGAGGAGCACCGGCGGCACACGTTGTTCTGCGGGACGCAGGTCATCCAAGCCAAATCCTACGTGGGCAGAGAAGTGCTGGCCGTGGTGACCCGCACAGGTAATGGCCTCGAGGGGGAAACCAGGACCGAGCCACGTCCTTTGGAGCGGCGACGTTGCACGTGTCCCTCTCCCGCAGGGTTCTGCACGGCCAAAGGGGACCTCATCAGCTCCATCCTCTACCCCAAACCCGTGAGCTTCAAGTTCTACAAGGATGCCGTGAAGTTCGTCCTCTTCCTCGCCGTCCTGGGTACGTCTGAGCGTGGAGGCATGGCCAGGAGCGGCCAAACTCCCCTTCAGCGGTCGAAAGCCTTCGTCTGCTTTGCTTCGTAACCGAGCCCGTTCTCCCTCCCGCGCAGCTTTTGTCGGCACGGTGTACAGCATCGTCATCTTGGTTAAAAACCAGGTGGGGTCGTGGGGGCTGGTGGATCCTGGAGCGCGGGCTGGAGGTGGCTGTCGGGATGCCCACCCCTCTTCTTCCTCGCCTGCCCAGGTTCCCGTGGGGCAAATCATCATCCGTGCCCTCGACCTCGTCACCGTCATCGTGCCCCCGGCTCTGCCGGCCGCGATGACCGTGGGCACCATCTACGCCCAGAGCAGGCTGAAGAAACGGGGTATCTTCTGCATCAGCCCTCCCCGCATCAACCTCTGCGGGAAGATCCGCCTGGTTTGCTTCGACAAGGTGAGTCTCGGGCATCGCCGTGGGACCGCGATTTGGGGGCTGGCCGGGACCC